CAGGTCTAGGGACATGTAGATGTTTCGCTTTAGGGTTAGAGGCAGTGTTAGGGGGAGGCTTAGGGACAGGATTAATGATAAGTTTCTATGTAGCGAGGAAGGGTTCGTGTTGGGCTGAGTGAAGGTTAGGTGGAGGGTTAGCGTTTGGCTGGGAAACAGGGTTCAGGAAGGGCTGGAAACACTGTTATGTTAAAGGATAGAGACAGGGTTATATGTAGTGTGAGTGAGAGCTTTAGGAGGAGGTTTGTGGTTCAGAACAGAGTGAAACGTAGGGCGAGGGCAACCGTTAACATTAGGGTATGGAACAGTGTTTGGATTAGGGTTTGAAACACGTAAAGGGCCAACTTTAGCGTTTCTCACAGTTAGAGTCAGGTTTACATTGAGAGACAAATTTAGGGACAGATTTAGGGTTCGTTTGCGGGAAGGCTATAAGTTACGGAAGGCGTTTCGGTTGGGTATATTAATAGGAGTAGAGTTAGGGTTCAGGAAAGGTGAGGGGTAGGGTGGGCGATAGGGACAGCTATCTGGTTAGGAACACTCCCAGTGTTAGAGCGAGGTTTAGTACCTACATTAAGGTTTGTTTAGTAAGAGCGTGATATTGGCTTTTGGGTTAGGGTGAAAACAGGCTTACCGTAAGTGTCACGTGCAAGGCTAGGGTTAGTGTTAGAGAGGGTGTTAGGCTAGAGTTAGGGACAAGGTTAGGTTTCCAATTAGCATCCATGGTAGCAGTAGTTTCAGGCAGAGGTTTTGCGTTCAGGTGAGGGCCAGGTTTACCTACTTGGCTAGGATGAAGGCTGCGGTCAGTTCTAGGGTTAGGGTTGGGTTTCCAGGCACGGTTAGTGTAAGGTTGAGATTTCGTGGGTTACGTTTAGGGAAAGGGTTAGCCTTAGGGATTGTTCAGAGACAGGGCTAGCATCAGGGTCAGGGAGAGCATTAGGAGTTGGTGGAAAGCTCAGGACTCTGTGAGAATTCGGATTAGATTCGGGCCAGGTTTAACTTTACAAACGGAAGTCAGGTTAGGAACAGCTCTAGTTCAGGGTCTAGGAAGGGTGTTAGGTTCAGGTCTAGGGACATGTAGAGTTTAAGTTTTTAGGTAAGACGCAGTTTTAGGGGGATGTTTAGGGACAGGATTAACGGGAAGTTTCTATGTAGAAAGGAAGGGTTCATGTTGGGCTGAGTTATGCTTAGGTGGAGGGTTAGGGTTTGTCTGGGAAACAGGGTTCAGAAAGGACTGGAAACACTGTTAAGTTCAAGGCTAGGGACAGGGTCAGATCTATGGTGAGAGAGAGCTTTAGGGGTAGGTTTGTGGTTCAGAACAGACTGAAACTTATGGTGAGGGCAACCGTGAACAGGGTATGGGACAGTGTTCGGATTAGGGTTCAAGACACTTAAAGGGCCAACTTCAGGGATTGTAACAGTTTGACTCAGCTTTACGTTGAGAGACAAATTTAGAGACAGATTTAGGGTTAGGTTGTAGGAAGGCTATAGGTTACGGAAGGTTTTATGGTTAGGTCTATGAACAGGGGTAGAGTTAGGATTCAGTAAGGATCAGGGGTAGGGTGGGCGATAGGGACAGCTTTCTGGTTCGGGACACTCACAGTGTTAGGGAGAGGTTTAGCAACAAAATTAAGGTTAGTTTTAGTAGGAGCGTGATGTTGGGTTTCAGGTTAGGGTGAAAAAAGGCTTACCGTAAGAGTCACGTTCAATGCTAAGGTTAGTGTTAGAGACGGTGTTAGGCTAGGGTTAGGGAAAGGGTTAGGTTTTCAATAAGCGTCCATGGTAGGGGTAGTTTCAGGTAGAGGTTTAGCATTCACGTGAGAGCCAGGTTTACCAACTTGGCTAGGAAGAAGGCCGTGGTCAGTGCAAGGGTTAGGATTTGGGTTTCCAGGCAGGGTAATGAAAGGTTCAGATTTTGTGGGTTCCATTTAGGGAAAGGGGTAGGATCAGCCTTAGGGAAAGTTCACGGCCAGGGCTAGCATCAGGGTCAGGGAGAGCATGAGAAGTTAGTGGAAAGCTCAGGAGACTGTGAGGATTCGCAATACAGGTGGGCAGGTTTAGCTTGAGAAACAGTTCAGGTTACGGACAGCTATAGGTTAGTGTCGAGGGAGGGTGTTAGGTTCAAGTCTAGGGACATGTAGAGCTTTCGCCTTAGGGTTAGAGGCAGTGTTAGGAGGAGGCATAGGGACAGGATTAACGGTAAGTTTCTATGTAGCCGGGAAGGGTTCATGTTGGGCTGAGTTAGGGTTAGGTGGAGGGTTGTGGTTCGGCTGGAAACAGGGTTCGGTTTCGGGTGGAGAGTGTTGAGGTCAAGGCTGGGGACAGGGTTAAGACTAGGTTGAGAGAGATAATTAGGAATAGGTTTGCAAGTCAGTTTGAAACAGATTGAAAGGTAGGCTTAGGGCCACCGTCAGCATGTGGTTATGGGACAGGGTTTGCATTAGGGATCGAGACAGGTGAAGGGGTAGCTTTAGTGTTTCTGACAGTTAAGTCAGGTTTATGGTGAGAGACCAAGTTAGGGACAGAATGAGGGTTATGTGGCGGGAATGCCATGGGTTCAGGGAAGGAGTTAGGTTTAGGTTTATGAACAGGAGTAGTGTTAGCGCTCAGATTGGGTGAGTGGTAAGGTGAGCGACCAGGACAGCGTTCAGGTTCCCAACAGGCACAGTGTTAGGGTGAGATTTGGAAACACCCTTAAGGTTAGTGTCAGTAAGAGCATGACCGTTGGGTTTTGGTTTAGGGTGAAAACAGGATTCCCGTAAGGGTCAACTATCAAGCTAGGGTTAGTGTTAGAGACGGTGTTAGGCTAGGGTTAGGGAATTGGTTAGGTTTCCAAATAGCGATCATGGTAGGGTTAGTGTGTGGGGAGCCATGGTTACAGGTAATTCAGAGCCTTACAGACTGGCTCGGTTAATTCTTAACCTGTTTCTGCTCCTAAGGCATTGTCTCTGCCTGCGCCTGAAGGGTGCTGACAAGTTGCTGAGGTATGTGGTGAGAACGGCCATTTCCCGGACACAGAGGATTGATGGCTATTGGGGTAATTGATAGATTCTGTCATGGGGTAATTATTTTTGGGAGTTTCAGTGATTTTGTAGTTTCTATGTAAAAGTTAAAGATTTACTTTCGCTGAGGTAATGCATATTTTTCATTGTTAAACTGCACATACTCAAACTGCATATATTGGTGATGGGAAATAAACTCGGGGCTTCAGCATCACTGAAGACCGGCCGCATCTGCAGTCGTGTGAGTGCCTCTTTATTCACTCCTGCTCCCCCCTTCAGGTACTGAATGATTTGTGGCGGCTGGCCCGCCATATTAGTGTCAGGCAGAGGTTTAGAGTTGAGTTGAGGGCCAGTTTCACCGACTCAGTTAGGAGGTGGGCTGGGGTCAGTGTAAGGTTTAAGATTTGGGTTTCCACTTAGGGTTAGTGAAAGCTTGAAACGTAGGAGGTTACGTTTAGCGAAAGCGGTAGAGTTATTATTACAGAAAAGTTCAGGGACAGGGCTAGCGTGAGGGTCAGGGAGAGCATTAGGTGTTGGTGGAATGCTCAGGACACTGTCAGAATTCGGGTTAGATTCGAGCCAGGTTTAGGTTCAGAAACAGAGTTCAAGTTAGGGACACCTATAGGTTGGGGTCTAGGGTGGGTGTTAGGTTCAGGTCTAGGGACATGTAGAGCTTTCGCTTTGGGCTTAGAGGCAGTGTTAAGGGGAGGCATAGGGACAGGATTAATGGTAAGTTTCTATGTATTCAGGAAGGGTTCATGTTGGNCGTGGCAAGGGCCCGGCTCGAAGAGGAGCTTATTTCATTGGATGCACAGTGAGTGAGACACATCAGGAAAAATGGGTCACGCTAGCAGCAAGGACCTGTATGTCAGAGGACTTAAGAAATTGCTTGCCGCCCATGGCAGTCAGGTGAGCAGAGAACAGCTAGACAAGTTTTTAGAATTTGTAAAAGAAGTCTGTCCATGGTTTCCAGAAGAAGGCACTGTCAGTCTGGGAACTTGGGAGAAAGTGGGAGAGCAGTTACAAGATTATTATGCTGCCCACGGACCTCAGCAGATCCCTGTGGAAACATTCAGGTTATGGACTTTGATCAGGGATTGCTTAGATCTTAAGCATGAGGGCTGCAAGCTAGAGAAAGTGAAACAAGCTGGAAATGAGGAAATTCTTCCACCTGCCGCTTCTCTGGCAGAGAGAGAGGAGGAGGAGGGAGCTAAACACACAGAAGGACTTTCTAGGTTAACAAAGAGCCTGGTTGAAGATTGGGAAGATTTAGACCCTCAGGATCAGGAAGAATTAGAGGATGAGGCAGCCAAATATGATAGGGACAAATACCCTCCGTTGGTGGCTATGGCTCAAGGAGGCACTACACTCTCTTTTGCAGATCAGCTAAAGAAGATTCAGGGACAGTTGATAGAACTTAAAGTTGCTGTGGGCATAGGAAATTGTCCTCGGGGTCCCCAGATTCCTTCTAGAGATCAATGGAATCCTCGGGGTAAAGATCCCCCCACAGTTAATTCCTCTGCAACGCCTCCTGAGGAGCCCTGTATGTGGGGTCCTCTGTTGCAGCCTCCGGTTTGGGACATGCCTACTAAGCCTCCGCCAGGTTATGTTAAGCCAGGGTCGGACTCTGTTGTGCGCTCCCCTCTTCAAATGGCTTGTGAAGAAGCTCACAGGCAGGGGGAGTCCATGGATCCATTTGGAATATATCCTATCTTTGAAAGGCTTGACCAGGCAGGGCAAATAGTTAGAGAATGGAGGCCATTCCAATGGAAGCAATTGAAGGAATTAAAGGAGGCTTGCGCACAATACGGTCCTATTGCCCCTTTCACCATGGCAATTTTGGATGCCTTGTCTACTGAAGCTACCCCTGCAGAGGATTGGAAGCATATTGCTCATGCTTGCCTTTCCGGGGCGACTATCTCTTATTGAAATCAGAGTTCTATGAAAATTGCAAAAAGAAGGCTAAGCAAAACGCCCAAAGGCAAATTCCTATTACTTTTGACATGATAGCAGGAGAAGGCATACATGCTGAATTAAGAAACCAGATGGGTTTTGCAGTGGGAGTTTACACTCAAACCACTGCAGCGGCAAAAGACGCTTGGCAAATGTTGCCTGATGCTTCCCGCAAAGAGGAACATGTTTCTCAGATAAGGCAGGGAGCAGATGAACCTTTTCAGGAATTTGTGTCTCGCCTCAACACCGCCGCAGGGCGGGTTTTTGGGCCATCGGTTGCCACTCAGTCTTTTATAACGCAGCTTGCCTATGAAAATGCTAATTCTGCCTGTCAAGCGGTCATTAGACCATTTAGAAAGAAAGGGACATTATCTGGCTATATTCGCTTGTGTACGGATGTAGGATCCTCCTTTACCCAAGACATAGCCATAGCAGCAGCTATACAAGGGAAGCCTATGAAAGAAATAATGTATCAACAGGCAAGATTCAATACAGGAACTCGCTCTGGGGCTTGTTTTACTTGTGGAAAATTGGGACATCGAGCTGCCCAATGCCCTCGTAAAGGAGAGTCTGAGCACTCGACCGCTCCTGCAAAAAAGCCTCCAGATATATGTCCTAAATGTAGGAGAGGAAAACATTGGGCCAGTGAATGCAGATCCAAGACTGATAAAGATGGGAGACCCATCCAGGGAAACTGGGTTAGGGGCCAGCCCCTGGCCCTGAATCAACAATGTTATGGGGCACTGCAGATCCCAGAACAGATGCAGGGACAGAGAGGGAACGAGCCTCTGAGAGAAAATACATCACGGACTTATTCCGGGCCACCTCAGGCAGCGCAGGATTGGACTTGTGTTCCACCACCGACATCGTACTAACTCCCGAGATGGGAATGCAAGCACTGCCCACAGGGATCTTTGGGCCACTACCACCAGGAACTGTAGGTTTGTTGTTAGGAAGAAGTAGTACCACTATGAAGGGGATTCAAGTTTCCCTGGGAGTTATTGATGAGGATTTTACTGGAGAAATTAAGATTATGACTCATTCACCTTTTAACATTTCAGATATACCTGCTGGAACTCGTATAGTTCAGCTAATTATTTTGCCTCGCATGAGAGTAGGGAAAAATAGGCAGAATCAGGAACGTGGAGATCGAGGATTCGGTTCCTCTGATGCTTATTGGGTTCAGGAAATAAAAAGAGATCGACCTGTTTTACAGCTTAAAATTAATGGGAAGAGTTTTCAAGGGATTTTGGATACTGGAGCTGATGTATCCTGTATAGCTGTTGAGCATTGGCCTTCTAGTTGGCCTACGTGATGCACTAACACGGACTTACAGGGCATAGGTCAGTTTCGTTCCCCTAAGCAAAGCAGTAATTTATTGTCATGGCAAGATGAGGAAGGACATCAAGGGACTTTTCAGCTGTACATTGTCACCGGTCTGCCCGTTAACCTATGGGGACGGGACATTATGAGCAATATGGGAGTTTATCTTTTTAGCCCAAGCACTCAAGTAACTCAGCAGATGTTTGATCAAGGGCTCCTCCCAGGACAGGGCTTAGGCACTGAGGGACAAGGTCGTCAGGAACCTGTTTCGTCTGCCCCTAATTTACAAAGAGCAGGTCTAGGATATTTTCCCCAGGGGTCATAAATCTACCTGTACTCCACCAGAAAACTGCAGAAGCAATAACTTGGAAATCTGATATGCCTGTGTGGATAGATCAATGCCCCCTTACACAAG